GGGGGACTGGATGACGTCCTCGCGTGCCGCTCCCGTGCATGTTGAGAGGAGAGAGAGAGAGAGAGAGAGAGAGAGAGAGAGAGAGAGAGAGAGAGAGATTGTGATTGTGCATGAAGTCATTCGCTGAGAATTGAGTGAGTGAGAGTGAGTGAGAGTGTGTGTGAACGTGTAAGCCTTTGACCTCAGGCAAGTGCAAATTTCCTGGTTGTTCGAAACCCTGGATTACGTGCATATTTCGGTGGCTGTGTGTTTGTAGCACAGAGAGAGCGTGTGAGTGTGTCCGAGTGTGTGAGTGTGTGAGTGTTATCGTGCACGGCGAGTCGAATTGAAACACACTGGAAACGCAAGTGTGTGAATGTCACTCACCTGCAGGTGTGTGAATATCCATTCGTACACTTACGGGGGTAAAGGTGTGAATTTTCTAGGAAAAATTCACACCTTTAACCCTCTAAGTGTACGAATGGATCTTCACACACCTGCAGGTGAGCGACATTCACACACTTGCGTTTCCAGTGCACGCTAGTGAGAACACCCCAGTGGGTAACGTGCGGCAGCTACTTCTCGGTGTTGTGCACGCTCTCGGGCAGGCGGCGGCATAGCGTTAGGTTATGCCACACACACATGTTGTTGTTGTTGTTGTTGTCGTCGCTGTTTCTTTTTATTATTTTCTCCCTTGCTCTACGTACACCGACCCACCGCGCTCGCCCGGCCATACAACAGGGCGGGGAGTGAATGAAAAAGTTGCGCGCGCCACTTCCATTTGGCACGTATATAGGGAAAAAGGCGTTGGTTGTGTGTGCGTGTGCGTGCGTGCGTGCTAGCCCGTGCGCACGGCGCGTATGTGTAAGCAAGTCGTCCAGTAATGCCAGTTAAACTTGCCCCTCACGTCTCGTAGTGCGATAAAGACCACCTACACACACGTGTGCGCGCGCGCGCGCACACGCACACACACACACACAAGCACACGCACACATATGTGCGCGCTCGCTCGCCTCTACACTCCTCATCACGTGTCTCCCCAACAGCACATGTTCAATGTCCAAAAAGTACATTCAGCAGGTTTTTAAAGAAAAGGTAGAATTACTAAAAACCAAAAAAACAAATTGCTCCGTAAATAATTTTTTTCAACCACTTGAAATGAGACCTATTTTTTAAAATCCTTTTTTACTAATTAAAAGTTGAGATACTTGTGGTACGAAGAGGAAAATCTGAAGTAGGCACGCTCGACTGTCGCTGCATGCTACCCGCTGCAATTAAATACGCGAGTAAAGGAGACTTGCGTCAAAGGGCGGTAAGTGCATGCGTGGCTGGGTCGGCGGGGCGGGGCTCGCGGCTGGAGTCCACGCCGCCGTCGCCGCCGTCACAAGGGACCATAAATTATGCATGTCGTTATTGCAGTTTGAAAAGCCCCGCGTGCAGAGCTGGAGGTGCAGAATGTGTGTGTGACAGGCGCCTGCGCCGAGTAGGGGTGTGAGGGACAGAGAGAGGGGGGGG